AGTATCCCACTTCCTCCATGGCATTAGCTGGAAAAAGTCCATTACTGCCAGGTAATAGGTGAATGTCACAATAGCAGGATGTCATAAAGCTCTGGAGTGGTCTAATGGATTTTGTTCAGGTTGAGGTGCCAAATGCACCCTTCTGCACAAAATAAGCCCCAAGCTTTTCCAAGAAGCTGCAAAGTTCAAGTTTCTACTTATCAAATTAAAGCTTAAAAGCACATGCAGCCCACATAAAGAAGGTAACTTGTCTGGAGAAGGATTGGGCAGCTCTGCTTTTTTTTAAACCCATTTTGTACCCCACTCTTTGCTCCTCTATACACAAATGCTATGCTTCGGATGTGAGACGAGTTACTCAGTTTACACTTTGAGAAAGAAAAAATGCAAGCGACACTACAAAGACAGTGGAAAAGTCTGGAACACATACAAAGTAAATGACAAAAGCAGAGACCGTTGCCAGTCACTGAGCTTTTGTAGCCTCAGGGATGGAGGGGGTGGGAGGCAGATGGGAGATTGGAGGCTTATGGATGGACTGATCATGTGAGCTCATTCGCTTGAAGAGCTGGCACAGAGCAGCAGAGAGATACAGGAAGTGCAGAAGTAGAGAGGGGAAAACAGGCTTTGATTTCTGCGTTCAATAAGCTCCCCACTATGTTCCTTTAAGCTTCAACAAAAAAAAAAAAGTCTTAGGTTATGTCTTAATTTAATTATTTATGATTTTTGTATTTTGGTTTTTCCTCAATAAAAAGTATAGAGATATATCAAAGTATTGTGATAGTTATTAATCTCCAGTTTAATAACACTCATGACTTTTTTTTCCAGTTTATGAATTTCTGTGTATAAAATATTAAAAAGAAAACAGCAGGGGGGTTTATTATGAACGGACAACGTAGATACTTCTGTAGAAAACATTCCTGAATCAGAATCAGACATACTGTAATAATCCCAGAGGGAAATTACTTAAACTGTTAAAAACATATATGACAGGAACAATATGATGTTTCTAGATCCTTAATTGTCCTGAGGTAATCCATAGACTGTGAGCTAGTTATAGCTATATCTACCTAACAGTAAATGTTTGGGATAAATGATTACATTAAAAAGTGTCCAATTTAAATTTCAGCTGAGTATACATCTTATATTCTATTTCAACAATAAAAAACAGACAAAAAAAGCTGATTACGGCTGTTACATAACTAATAGTTAATGCTAAAGAGTATGAGTGTGTTATACTACTTAAAAAGAGAATAAATCTTTACAGAGTTGACAGTTTGGTTCAGTGGTGTGCTTTTCACCGTTCAACGGCTCCGGTCATTTTAAATGCTTGCATGGTTTAGCATACCTGAATCAAATGAATGAGTCATAAGCAGAAAAAAATGCAGAACTTTGTGAAATGTTACTGTTGCCATTTGAAACAGCCGTGTTGTAAAGCAGGGACCCATTGGAATCTGCATGACCCCAACCTTGGAGTTGGGTGCGCCTTGTTGAAACCCAAAGCCAATATTTTTTACCATATACAGTAAAACCCTTATCTGACAGAATGCAGTCAGAATGACCAGGTACCATTTTTAAACAAAACTTCAATTTGAAGCAATTTCATATGGGGTGCATCCGATAGTCAACTGCTCATCATGCATTTTATCTGACTTCCGTTTAATTGTCCAGGATCCCACTAAGTATTCACACAGACTTTTCTTGAGCAGCAGTAGCCACTGCTCCTCTAGAGGCTATCTAAGCTAGGCTCCATCTTCTTATGTGGTCATCATATGAACAGCAAGTGGATTGGCTCTCATTGCTCAATGATTTATTAACACAGAAACCTGCATCCACTCTGAATTATTCAATAAAGCTTAAAAAAAAAGTTCAAAGTAACATTCACATCCACATTTACTTCCGTAAAAGTTTAAAAAACAATCCTCTGGACTTGGTTTCCAAGGTTTAAAGATGTTTTGCGGGTCGTCGGTTTCAATTTGCATATTTCCAAGCAATACAAGGCCTTGTCTATATAAAGCCTCAAACTCACTGTGGATCCAGACATTTGAATTGAGAAAGCTTCCTGGAGGGGAAGCGAAACGTATATGTGGGGTCTATTAGACCTTGGAAACCAAGTCCAGTGGATTGTTTTTTAAACTTTTATGGAGTGACTATGACCTGGATGACTGAGAATCTTCATCACCACATTTACTTCCATAAACAGCGCTCTGCTGTCACGGTCTACATTCTCCCTTTGCATAAGCAGGTTGCTTTGGGGTTGTGAACCACTCAGATAGACATATTTGATTTGTGGGATGAACAACCACATGCACAAAAAAATTATTTAACTAAAGAAAATAAGACTGGGTGAAAATTTGCTTAATTATTAGCCTTATCATTGCTAGCATTAGTAACTATTTCCAAGGGAGCACTAACTTTGCTGTAAGATGTTTCACTTTTTGGCTATTTGTTGATGCATCACCCTCATTCATGTAGCAGGCAGTCTGGATGAGTGCAGGCATGACTCTGAAAAATACACAGTTTTCTTTTAAAAAGCTTGTTACAGATTTGATGTGGATATCATTGGCAGAAACCTGTGCCATCACAAATTGAATTTTAATGGGCCCAGCTAAATCTGTATTTATCTAAGTTAAAATTAAAATTACTGGTTTAAAGTGAATTTTGCTTCCAAAATTTGTTTTGATGCATTTAAAATTCAATTACTCTGTTTTGAATTTAAGATTTTTTAATTCAGTTAAAATGCATTGGCTTGGTGGATGGCAATAATTTAAAATTATCATAAATAAAAAGTCTTATCAAAAATGGGTGTGGGCTACCTGCAGCTATCAGCTAAAGATGCAACGATTTACCTAAAGAAACACGTTTATATATAAATATTAACCAATCCATGGTAAATATATATTTTTAATACAATCTTCAAATACGTATATATCTATATATTTTACATTGATGAAAAGTGGATCAGGCTTCCTACCGTAAGAGAAGAGAAACGTCTCTTATTAGGGCAAATATTTAACATAATCCACCATTTATTAACTCTTGAATTTTCGTTTAGGAATAAAATAGATCTATGTATAATTTTTTTTTAAATGTCATCTTGGACAAAGCATATTTATTTGACTCTCCACTTCAGTGTTGGAAACGATTCCTACCTCAGTTTAAACTGCATTTTTTTCTTTCCTGTGGTTGCCATTGGTAACAATTGAATAGCACTGATCAGCTGGTTCATTTAAATAAACAGTGCTTTCATGCAGTACTTCACATGGACCATTATTGGTTAAATGGGAGAGTGTAGAGGGCCAAACATCAGGTAAAACAAAAATTTCAGAAACATCTGAGATTTATAAAGGAAAATTGTTTGGTTTTATAAATCAAACATTTTTTTTGGGAGGAATACTCCATTTTTGGGTGCTCAGTGTACGTATGCTTTTATTATTGATTCTGTGCAGTGTTTTACTAATGACAGCTCAGGCCTGTACTACCAGAAAAAGACTGGACAAGTTTATACTCTTATTTTAACTGGAATTTCTTGTCAGAAATACAGTAAAAGAATGATACAAAACTTAACATAACTGCAGATCAACTGACTTAAAATGATGTTAATAAATAAAAACTCAAACCATTTTGGCAACCAATGAAATGAGACATTGACATTTTCCTATTATGAGTATTTTTTTGGATAAACTTGACATTCTGTAATTATTGTAGGCCACAATTTTAAATGTTGCCCTGTGATAGACTGGTGACCTGTCAAGAGTGTACCCCGCCTAACACTCAGTGACTGCTGAAGATATGCCCCACCGTGACCCTGATGGTTAAAAGGGAGAAGATGGATGGATGGATGGATGGATGGATGGATGGATGGATGGATGGATGGATGGATGGATGGATGGATGGATGGATGGACAGACGGATGG